TTAATGAACTAGAAACAAAACAACACAAAGAATCAATGAAATGGAGAGTTGGTTCTTTTATTCATGGTTTCACACATTTTGTTTCTTATGTACATTTAATTGAGTTTTTGTGCATTTCATATAATAGATCTTAATCAAATTTAGACCCCCCTTTCCCCATTCACCCCGCCCACAGGACTTAATGCATTCTGTCATATATGCTAAGGCCTATACGGTCAAGCATTTGTATCCAGATATCCCTAGGTACAAGTTCATCCACTGGAGTCTAGTCAGCCTATCTGGAGGCACTCCCTTAAAGAAGATCAACTCTCCCTCACCCTGCAGTAATCAGTTGCCAATAGTTCCTCTGCCAAGGTTACCTCGTTCCCAAGCTCTATGCTGGATTTTTATCTGATTGAGTCAGCATTGGTCTTGTACATGATGTTACCATTGTTGCAAGTTCATACAAGCAAGTTCCCAGAGGCCTGACAACCTCTGTTTCCTTATGTTCATGCACCAACCCTGGATCTTACGATCTTTGCTTTAAAAATATTAACAAGATTGACATATCTTTAACCAAAATGAACTGAACATGATTGGTAATGTATGTCTTAAATTGAGCATGTTCAGGAATGTGGCCAGGCCTACAGTGCATTACTAAATATGTATACCCTATCTGAATTAAATTCTCATGCTTTCTTTGATCAAGGAGGGGACTTCTTTTGGAATATCTCCAGTGTCCTCTTTAATCAACCCTCTATTCTCTTCTGGTTGTACATAAGATATTCCTGGTTTTCCTTGGACTTTCTCCACTATAGTCACAGAATTCACCATTTGCTTAAGAAACCACGTTCATTTTAGGGGAAAACTGTATTTTTAAATCAGGATTTGGACTCTAGATACGTTCATTGCTAATGAGAAACAAACGCTTCCAGACCTATGAGAGCAAGAAAATATATGTACTCAAACATGTGTCATAGATGTGTGCAGATATGCATGTGGATATATAATGCATGCTTGAATATATATTTTCTATACCGTCTATACATAAATATATATTTCTTGGCTATCTATTAAAGACATACATAATTTAAAAATATAAACTTATTAGAGAATCCTGAGTAATCCAATGAAATATTTCAGGGATTTTTGTTAAAGACACAGTGGAAATTATTTCATCCAAGTACAAAAATAAGAAGTAATGCCATATTCCTTCCTTTGAGATTCTTGATTTTTCAGTGGTAGTCATAACAGTTTTCCTAATTTGGATAAAAGTTCCCAACTTTATTTGTACATTTATCTCACAGTTGTTTGCCATCAAGAGCATTGCTTCTTTCAGAATTAACATTGTTTTCCTTTTGTCTAACTTTCTCCTTTCCTATTCTGAAAGTCTCATGGAATTTGAATTTTTGCCATACTCATGTTTGTAGCTGCCATCTCCTAGACTAAGAAACTTGTATTCCATTATTTTTTATGTACTTACCTGTTTGACCTATCATTCTACATGTAACCAATCCCTGATTCTCTCTGCCACCTGAATCCATGTATGGGCATACTTCCCTCTCTGCTTGGCTCTGATTCCCTACTCAAAGCTGCCACTGTGCATATATGATCCTCACACAACTCTGCCTCTGACTTCCCATGCTTAGTGATTCCTCTGTGTAGGCATTCTTGGTCTCTGAAGGATGCCCTATTCTTCCTGTCCTGACTTTGACTTCTCATATTGGACTGTCTCTCACCTGAGTGCTTGTCTCTCCTTCTTGGCCTTGACCTTCTATTCCATCCTCATCCTCATCCTCATCCTCATCCTCATCCTCATCATATGGATGCCTCTTTACCCTGCTTTGAGTGTGGAATCTCTGCTAGTCTCCTTTTGGTATTGCCCTCCTTACCCCACTTGGGCCCTCTCACACTGAATTACTATACCTCTCTATACACACAGTAGACACTTACCTTGCTCTTACTCAATGAAAGGTATTATGACTAAAATACACAGGAAATAGATGTCTAATGAGGCTATTTGAAATATAAACTGTGGAGGTCTCGATTCTTAAGTGGATTATTTGGGGTCATGGAACAAATTAGTGGCAACAGAAGTACAAAACCTAAGTCTCTGTGAGTGTAAGCTGTGTGAGGATGGAGCTCTTGTCTTTCTGGTTTGTTAGTTTATTTCTATGCTTATCATAGTACCTTTCTTGAGCTGCATAGATTAATAACTAAGCTATTCCTATTTAGCTTTTCTCTTTGCTATCTTGACTTGTAAGAATATACAAACTGTTGGCTCTGTTAGATACTTTTGTACCATGTGATAAAATACCTGGCAAACACAAATTAAAAGAGGAAAGATTTAGTTTGGTACACAGTTTGAGGGTTTGGTCAATGGATTTTTGGCCCCATGTGTTTAGGCAAAACATCTGGGTAAAAGGAATATGTGGTGGAGAAGTCTTTCATCTAATGTGAGAAAGGAGAAAGAGAGAGAAAAAGAGAGAGAGGTCTAGTGAAAGCTATAGATCCCAAGGACATGTTTCTTTGTGACCTACTTCTTGCTTCTAGGCCCTATCTTCTAACATTTCCAAAACCTACCAAAATAATGCTACCATCTGGGGACCAACATTTCAATATATGAAACTTTTAGAGGGATACTTCCTATCCAGTGCATAAGAATGTCATTTACACATTTTTATAATCAACAGTGATTTACATCTCTATATAAATGTAAACACCTGAATTTCTGTGCCTAGTAACGTTTTTCCACTTCATGAATTTCTAGGGTTCTTAGCAAATAGGGAGTGAACCTTCTAAAAACAATCAAGTGGCAGAAGAGACAAAGATCATACGAAGCTATAACCATCGCTGCATCCCAGGCTTCCTTCACTTCCATTGAGTGTGGGGGAAAACTTAGGTACCACCAACCAGTTTCCCAGTCACTGGACTACCTTCCCTTCAAAACATATGGAACTTTGCAGGAGAAAAATGCTGTCCTGGTAGGGCAACCAATAGTCCCACAATCAGCTAGCTCCTTTACTCACTCTCTTCAGTGAACACAGTCAGCCCATCGCACCAAGCAGTGTTTCCAAAGCATATTCTGAAGAATGCTATCTCTGAGAGACTCTTCTTTTGAAGAGAATTCTGTTATTACAGAACACTGGGAACCTGGCAATTTACAATGCACATGCTCACACTGAAGGCTCTAAGAAATCCTACAGAGGAGCACATTTTAACTTCATGTAACTTGGTATTGTCCAAAAGTCTTTAACTACAGAGCCCCTGTTAGGAATATCTACCCCAACCTAGTTTCTGCATAGGGAAAAACATTGTATTCCTTCTGAGGACTGTGAGGAAGGCTCTGTTCCAAGTCTCTCTTCTTGCCCTGAAGATGACTATTTTCTCTCTGTCTCTTCATACATCTTCCTGTATGCACATCTATGTCCACATTTTCTTATAAGGAAGAACTAAGGCCTACTCCACTGACCTCATTTTAACTTGATTACTTCTACAGCAGACTTCTCTCCAATCAAGGTCACATTGTGGGGTGCTGTTCTGGTTATTTTTTATTGTTAACTTGGCGCAACAAAGACACCTAGAAAGAGAGAACCTCTGTTAAACAATTGCCACAATAGGGTTGGCATGTGGGTATGCCTATGGGATATTGTCTTGATTCCTAATTAATGTATGACTGCTTAGCCCACATTGAATGATACCATTACTAGACAGGTAGTCTTGGGCTATATAAGAAAGCTAGCTGAGTGTAAGTCAGTCAGCAAGTATCTTAGCTTTCTATTGCTGTGATTAAAAACACTGACCAAAACCAACTTGGGGAAGGAAAGGTTTATTTTATGTTACATCTTCCAGATCACAGTTCATCACTGAGGGAAGCCAGGGCAGGAACTCAGGGAAGGAACCTGGAGCACGGACCATGGAGGAATGTTGCTGACTGGCTTGCTCCTCAGGCTTGTGCCCAATCTGCTTTCTTATATGACACAAGACCATCTGCCCAGTGGTGGCACCACCCACAGTGTGTTGGGCCCTCCCACATCACTAAATTATCAAGGAAATTCCCCACAGACGTGCCCACAGGTCAATCCAATGGAGGAAATTCCTCAATTGAGACTCCCTCTGCCCAGGTGTGTCAAATTGACAACTAAAGCTATCTAGCACAGCCAGCCAATAAGCAATGTCCCTCCATGATTTCTGCTTCCCTTCTTGCTTAAGTTTCTGTCCTAACTTCCTTCAGTAATGAATTGTGATCTGGAAGTACAAACCAAATAAACCCTCTCCTCTGCAAGTTACTTTTGGTTGAAGCAAACCAGAGCAAGTGCTTTGGGTAGAAATACAACATATGAATGGGGTGGGGCACAGCTTAAATTATGAAAGATGAGTTGTAATGCTAGGCTTTTGTGCTTTTCAAAACCCACCCCAAGCAAGTACGTTCATTCACCAATTGCAAGTGTCAAAATGTAGGCTCCTTTTGGTAATTCAAGCACTAGAATCATAACTGACTATTGCTGTTTTCCTCTTCTTAACAGCACACTTCATTTCTCCATGGTGGTATTTGAATGTTCTGACTCATTTGCTGTTCTATCCCTGCTGGACTTTCCTGCAACCAAAGCACAGGGAGTTGAGGCCAGCAGGATCCACTGCCCTCCTGACTTCCTCTCTGTTCTCTCCATCAGTCTTTCTTGTCAGGGTATTCAACCTTTGGCCCTCTAGACTAGTCCCTCCCCTTCTTCTTTATTGCCCTAAGTTATTTTCCTTTTCTGATAATACCACTTTTCTCATAATCTCCTTAAGTGAAGGAGGAGGACACCTCAAGCAGAATATATACCTTTTAGTAGGTGATTACAACTACATTGTGCTGAATTAACCTCAAGAGTCCTAAAATATGAAGACACCTGTCAGATAGACCACTGAAAGGAGGAATTGTTTTACATTTTATAGCAGCTTTTTATTTCATTTCTTTGCTTACGAAGAAGCAAAACTAGCTGCTTTACGCCAGAGTGGATTTGTGGTTTGGCCTCACCATGCCTTCCTTCCACGTCTGCAACCTCAGGGTGCTGGTGGCTATTGTGTGCGGGTTGCTGACAGCCATCACTTTGGGACTGGGCATCTGGAGGATTGTGATACGGATCCAGAGAGGTAATGTCACCCTGTTGCATTCTGCTCAGAGAGACGGAAGGCAATGAACCTTTGTCTCCGCCACCTGATACATTAATGCTGGAAAGTAGCTCAGTCCAGGCTGTCACTGCCTTCCACAATGTCATTTACGAAATATAGAACAGGAGTCAATTGACAGCTAGTAGGTAGCTGTATGTATATTAATGTGTGTGTGTGTGTGTGTGTGCATGTGTGTGTGTGTGTGTGTGTGTGTGTGTGTAAACGGTGAAAAATGAGTTTTGAATTGGCTTCTTTATGTTCTTTTACCCCCCAAGTTGACAGCATGAGTAATAGTTGAAAATGTTAATAACATGCTTTGGGTTTATTTAGCTAAATCCAAGAAAGGCAACATGAGCACAGACACAGAAACATGCAGAATGGAATTTCATTTCAAGAAGGAAGTTTAGAAATGTTATCACTAGAGTTCTACATGAGGTGTGGTTTACATACAAGTTTCCCATTTTCCAGGTGTGGAAAACTACACAAAAGTTAGAATAACTTTCAAAATCATTTTCCTGGTGACCCATATGTATTCATTAGTCCTCTCCTGTGTTTTAGGTCTGATGTGGGAAAGGGGGAGAAAAGGGTAGATGTTTATAAAGAAACACAGATTCTCAGTGATTTTAATGTTGATTTCCTTGGCTCCTGGAGAGTCTCCATAAAGGGATTCAAAGTTGGATGTGCTGAACCTATGAAACTGAGTAAATAGAGGTGACTAATGCCAGTCAGGAGGTAAAGTCTGTCTTTAAGGAAGATGGGTAACTGCTATAGAACAGTTCTACCTGTGAAAATTCCCTGCTGAGAACAAAAGTGATTGACATTGGCTGCTGATAACCTGGCAGCTGGGGAAGGATCCACTCCACCCACCTGGTGCAAAGGAATAGCATTTAGATAATACTGTGTCAATAGGATTTAGAGAACTAGAATAAGAAATTAAGCAGGACAAAAGAATAACATTTAAATTTTAAGGTTTTAAAAATAGATTTAAGAAAACTAGAAGTAAGGGATTTTCTCTCTATTAAGCTTACTGAATGTATAAGACCTCTATGTATTTAATAAATCTCTTCTTGCTCTATTTGTAATGACTTCAGTTTTTAAAGGGAAATTTGTGGTGACTTACAATTAAACTGAGTCATTAAAACAAGGGCCAAAGTGCAAAACGAACATAAGGAAGAGCACAAGGTAGGAGACAGAAAGTACATAAAAGTTGAAGGCTTAGGGAAAGCTGTTTACAATCAGGACATACCCCCGAGCTGCTTGAGGGCTAAGACCTTTGAACGAAATACAAACACAATATAAAGAGTAACAAATGTTCCACTTCTCAGAGTAGTAACATACCCGTCCTTGGCCTTAATATTTTAGTCGGGTTTTTTAGGTAAATGACATCACTCAACTTTGGGTAAACCCAGTGGAACATGAGAGAACTTAGTATGAGTTAAAGAAAAGGACCAAAGACTGATACTGTTGTTGCCATTTGCCTTGTATATTTTATTCAGAAGACTATTTAGTTGGTAAATTCTGTTCCATTACACGTCATTCTTCCCCATTCACCTCTTCAGGTATTCCTCTTTTCCTCCCACCTCATTCCATTCAACCTGTCTCATTTCCTCTCGTTATGGACTGTCCTTGCTTTGGTCTCTTACTTAGTTATAAATTGTTTTAAATTTATTTTTTCATGGGGCGAGAGGCCATGCATATCTCTGAGAGATTGCTATAACTATGAATATATTTTATTTGCTTGTCTGGTTTTTGAGACACTCTGTAGCTCACATAAGCCTGCAACTCACAATATATAACCCAGGCTAGCCTCAAACTCCTGCTTTAGCCTTTCACATGCTAAGATTATAGGAATGATCACCCAATCCTTGCTAGTTATGAATGCCTTATTCAGAAAAAAATACATAAGCATATATACATAAAATTATGTCTAAATTAATTTTACTATATTCAAAATTAATTTTAACATAAACATAATAGTCATGAAAAGGTGGTAACTTCTTCATGAAAAATAGAAAAAATTACTCCATACCAAACATTCTGAGCACTTGAAGAATAAGGCAGGAGGATCGTTGCGAGTTCAAAGCCATCCTGAGCTACAGAATAAGACTTTATTTAAAAAGAAAAGCAGAAAAAGAAAAAATAAAACCTCCAGACCTGGACATGGATCATTTTCACATCAGAATCAGTGATGTCTATTGTCCAATCCATTTCAAAAGTCACTGTCTTAAACTAAGAACTTGGACTTTTGCCTTAGTTGTTTATTTCTGGATTTTTAAGTAGTGGACGTTTTTGGATATGACCATCAGTCCTAGTCAATCTTTGATAAAACGTTGTTAAATAACTTTGTAGAATACAGTGATTAGGACCGTGCATTTGTATCGAGGAGAAAGCTATGGAGCCAGACTCCCTGAGTTTAAACCTCAATGTTGCTGCTTACTTACCGAATACCTGAACACATTGCTTGTCATTTCTGTGTCTAGTTCCCTCTCTCTTGTAGGACGGATAGTAAATTTTGCCTTATGGGACTGTTTGAGAATTAAAAGAGGTAATGCATTTGAAAGTTTAAGATGATGCCTTGGATCTACTAAGCACTCAACAAATGCTGGTACCTAGTCTCTAATTTATGAAGTTTTATGTCATCCAATACAGAGCATAGTTTCTTCCACTCCCTAAATTACACCTTGAATAGATACCATTGACCTACATTGGACCTTTGATTGAGACTAAGTTATCAAACCAAAACTTTACAGTAGGTTTAATCATTAAATTAAATTGACTAGCTGAAAAGGAAAGAGAAAAAGTTCTAAGTACAGCCATATTATATTTGCTTTTCAATGTTCATGCTACTATACTAGCAAATGAAAGCTTATTAAAATATTTAGCCAGTTAACTGAAAATGTTAACTAAATAGTTAATATTAAACAACTCATCTTAAAGACTATACTTTACGTATTTTATTTGTACATATCTTTCAGGGGTGGGTTTTTTTTTTTTTTTTTTTTTTTTTTTTTTTTTTTTTTTTTTTTTAAAAAAGAGAGGGTCTCCCTGTAGCCTCAGCTGTCCTGAAACTCACTATGTAGACCAGTCTAGCCTTGAACTCATTGAGATCTGCCTGTCTCTGCCTCCCAAGTGCTGGGATTAAAGGCATGTGCCACCATGCCCGGCCTAGGGTTGTTTTTCTTTAAATAAAATCAAATTTTGTAAACATAATCTTTTTTACCACCATGCCTAGCCTAATTTCACTTTTGTTTTTTTTTTGAGACAGGATCTCCCTGTAGCCACAGCCAATTTGAAACTTGCTATGGAAACTAGACTGGCCTCTATCTCAGCCTCTGCATGTGCCACCATACTCAGCTTAATTTCACTTTTTTTAGTCCAAATTGTAAAAGAAGTTACATGACAAATCACTTAATCTTCCTGATTTTGATTTCTTTAAGATAGAATCTTAAAGATGCCAGTGCTACTTTGGAAATATTTTGAGTCATTTAGGTACTTTAGAGACTAGAATCTTGAAGTGAGTAGCATATAGAGTCAAATATGCCATTATGACAAAGGAACAGGTTGACCTTGGCATCCGCAATAGAATGCAAATGACAGAGAAGCCAGTCAGCACACATTTAAGTACCTTCTATTCCTCAGCATTGTTCTGATATCTGGACATAGAAGCTATGATTCTGATTCAAAGTGTTTCTTTGTTTTAATTTTATTATTTTTATTTTATGTGTATGCATGTATTGCCTGCATGCAGGTAAGTGTACCCATGTCATGCAATGCCTGCGGAGGTCAGAAGAGGCTGTCAGAGCCCCTGGGACTGGAGTTACAGACAGTTGTTAGCTGCCATGTGGGTGCTGGGATTTGAACCCGGGCCTTTTGCAAGAACAACCAGTGTTCTTAACCACTGAGCCATCTCTTCAGCCCCCAAAGTGTTTCTTAACTGTAAGGGTTATAATAAAAAGGCAGAATAAAAAGACATGGATAGGTCTCCTTCCTGTTTACAAATATATACTAACTAATATGATAATTCAAATATACAATCAGGCTCTCATTTTTGAAATCCCATGGACCAAAAGCAAAGAAAGGAGTTGACACCATAATGGTGAGTAGACAGTGTCATAAATCTTAGAGGTTATGAGTTCAATGTGTTCACAGGGAAGGAAGGCATTGCTTCATGTCTGTATTGGGGGGAAGTTGGACCTGAGCCACCAGTGTGACACCTGAAGTTTTCAAGGAATCACCTCAACCATAAAACGGAGATTAGAACAATTCTGTTCTGTAGGCCACAGAAGCATGAAATAACTCTAACTTTTCTGTTGTGGTAGTGAATTTGAGACAGGGTCTCATGTAGCCCAAACAGGCTAGTAGCTAATATAATCATTGAACTCTCTTTATCATCCTACTGGGATGGTAGGCCCATGTGCTAGTGCCTCAGTTTAGGCAGTGCTGGGGAATCAAATCGAAGCCATGACTAAGGAGCCAGGGGTCGGGTCAATATAAGTTGTTGAAACCTGAGGCTATACAATCTGAATTTATCCCACGTGTATGGTACAGAATCCTCCCATGAGAAATTATCTAAAACTAGATACAAATTACTATTTATGGACCCCCATGATTATAAGAGAAGAAATCATGAAACTTCTTTCTAGAAATATTTTCAGAAATAAGACCCATAAGGGCCCATGAAAGTATAATAAAATAATGATGATTTGGCAATCCAAAATCACATATGAACCATAATATAGTAGAGACATCTGGTATGATCAAAGATATCCCATCCCCCAAACTAGATACAAAAAATAATATGAAAGAGAATATAAGGTAACTTCTAAATAATTAAAAACAAAATACAGGATGAAAAAAATCACAACAAAGAAAAAGATGATATTTTTATAAGATAGGAGAACTTCAAATGTTAACTATTAAAATAAACCTAGGGGACTGGAGAGATGACTCAGTGGTTAAGAGCACTAACTAATCTTGCAGAG